CTTTCACCCAATACGAAAACTTTGATTTTTTGTTCTAAACCAGCTGGTCTCGCAACGCTCTATTCTGTTTTCTATTTTAATTTCAAGAGATTTTTTTAAACTTTTTTTTTTTAGATGGAAAAGCTTGGGTAGATCTAGAAGACAGAATATTTGATGGTTGTGGAGTGAGGCAGAAGGGGGGAGGCAGGCCGTGTACAGTGTGATCATTTCCTGCGTCATACATTCAGTCCTTCATTACGCAAGGTTTATTAACATTTTTATTGCACCTATTATTAATTGTTATTTTACTAAGCCTGAACAGAGTCGTTTCAGTCATTTTTTGTTTTCCAAAATGAAAGATTTACGGGATTCATACATTGTCGCTTTTCGAACATTTCCGTTAGAAAATAACAAAGACGACAAAAAAAACAAAAAACAAACAAAACAAAATCACAACCAAAAATTAAAATCAGTTTTGTGGTAAAGTTTCGATCAAAACTAGAGTTGTACAGAACACCTCTACAAAGCAAGTCTTAAATTACGTTCCACACTGTATCATTATTATTATTGTTATTGTTGTTGTTGTTGTTGTTTTGTTAATATTATTGTTTTTATTATTTTATTGTTTTTATTACTTTAATCATTATCATTATATTTATCATTGTCATTATTATTGCATTATATAGTACATATCCACGCTCTACAGTATGTTAGACTATGCACTTTAAAAGTATGCTTACTCCCAGCAGAGCCTTGGTCGGTCTCGTCTTTCCGGAAAGTATACAGCGCACTAAAACACTTATAAACTGAAAATAAAAATCTTTCGCAGCACAAACCGGGTACCTATTCCTTCTTTGGTGAAGTAACAAAAATTTGTGTAAAATCCTTTCTCAAGGAAACATCGTTGGGCCCTAATGGGATTCGGACCCTCTACCTTACGGTGAAAGTGTTACAGCCTGACCACTGGTCCACTCGTAATAATGACTGTCCTTTAATTTCTTGTTTTTTGTTGTTATTTCCGCAGGTTGAAAAGATCACACGTTGAAAGATTTTAAGGAGTCTTCACACAGTCACAATTGACACTCCACCGACTTACCAGGTTACGACAGCCAAAGGGAGACAACAGATATAACTAATAACGAAAGGAAAGAACTGATGCCACTTTTGCAAGGTACGCAATAAATAGCTATTTTGATTTATGTTATGCTCCGGTAGAGAATTAATATGATACTATTATTCATACAGAGATTATAATAATATTATGTTTTGTTTTACTTGTTTGTTTTGTTTTGTTTTTGTTTTTGTTTTCTTAACGATGAGTGATAGTCACATCCTTTTTGTCAATTGCAATCACGATTCTATCATTAGAGACTACATAATTGTTTAAGAACAAAATTTCCCCTACCTTTTATTTTTAAGGGATGTGATATTTACGCCCCCATCAACCCAATTTAGACAGTTTAGGACGCGGATTCAAACCCTTCCTGGCATGGAAGAGACTAAATTATACTGACGCAGCATCCCAGCGAAAAGACTGAGACAGTTGTATTCGATAAATGGTCGCTTTTGAGCACAAGAGAGCTATCCCGAAAAATGCTCTTTTGAGAAAATCGAAGGTAAAGTTTGTGGACCCTTGTTCAGTTTCTTAAAATAATTTAAAGGACAAGGAGAGTTTTCTCTATATCCAAACAATAAATAAACGCACCAATGAAACAAAACTTCACCTATAAGTAGGGCAATGTTTACTTTTGGTGTAAGAGTAGGTCAAGATCTTTTGGAAACCTCGAAATCTGGGTTAGCCACTTATCCTTAATAGCGACCAAATATTTTCCCCATAAGGGGAATCGAATTCTGGACTTCTCGTACATTCAACAGAGAAACACATATCGCTACACCACAGAAAGCTGTTCTTTTCTGTATGTGAATTATGAAATAGTGAGATTCCCCTCTCTTTTTAAAAAAGGTGATGGGTTCCTTCCGTCTCTCCTTCATTTGCATAATCAGTGCCTGCCAATCTGACTGATTTGGTTATTTTTAGTGAGCGGTGGTAAACATCCAGGTAGTAACAAGTCTCGTCTCATTTTATTATGCTCGGCTTGGAAATACGTGTTGGTGGGCGGTAGGAAATTGTTAGTCTCTTAATATGGCCAAAGTGGGCTGTAGCTCTAAAAATGTTGACAAGCACGCGTTGTACTAAACTGGATCAAAGGGGCTTTTCAAAATACGCAAACTGTATTTGCTTTTATGTCCTCAAACGGACGTTTGATTTAGATTTCATGACTATGTCCAATTGATTTCTTATTTTCATTTGAATAGATATGGTATCTTGTGTATTCTATCTCTACACTTTGAAGGACGCTTCAAGGAATCAACGATTCTTTTTATTCATAGGATGTGCATAATCCATTATCAATTCATCGACTGTGGTTATTAACGTGAAAGAAATGGTATTGTTTATACAAAGTGATTAGACACATTGAATAATACATAAATTCGTGATAATACAAATACGATTACTGTCACTTCTCTGATGCCATAGTTCGATGTGTATTGCGGCTAGCTGTCAAGTGCGTAAATATAATGGACATGAAAATGAATCAGCAAATAAATCACGTGAGCATAGATGTTTAAAGCCTCTGCGGGTAATAATTTAATTTTTCTTAGTAATAATAGATGGTAATGGTCCATTGTAATGAAGTGATGGCCTTCAAGTACATGAAGTATTGGAGACTCTGCCAAAAGATAGAGAGACGAAGAGAGAAGGAGAGAGAGAGATAGAGAGAGAGAGAGAGAGAGAGAGAGAGAGAGAGAGAGAGAGAGAGAGAGAGAGAGAGAAAAGAAAAAGCGGAAAAGAAATAGATAAAACAGGGGTGGAGATAGAAAAAAAGAGAGAGAGGGAATTAGAAAGAGGGAAAGGAAGAAAGAGAGTTTGTCAATTTTTTAATAGGACAAAAGAAGAGTCAAGAAGAAGAAGGGACGGGGACAGAATGATGACAAATAGGAAGAGTGAAAATTTGAAAAGAGAGGACATGGGATTGTATTGTGTGTGTGGGGGGGGGGGGGATGGGGTACTGTAAAGAATATTACAATCTGCCACTAAATGTCAGCACCGACTCAAATATTCAAAGATTCGGAATTTTACTGATTGATAACATTGCATAATGATATGTGTCACAGCCAGGTGGAATCAGTTTTGGGTCTTTGATGGCGTTGTAGGTATAATTCTAAATTATGTTCATTTTTCTAGCTTCTGGTGAAAAAAAAAAAGTATCCTTCTATCTGGAGTAGAAGTCAAGATATTTGCGATTGAATGAGGTGGGAGTTGCCTAGTTAAGTGTGAGAGGTTAAATTAACGAGAAAATTGTCCTCAAATTATTGTAATTTCCAAAGCTTGTGTGTCCACGGAAACGGCAAAATTTACATATTTTTGTGTCTTTGATCAACGTTTTTAATAAAAACATACCCAAATATGTGTTTTAAATGGATATTAAAAAGCATTGAACTAAAAGTTAAAAAATAAATAAAAATTGACCGACGGGTGGGAAAAAATTATGTTACGTTGGGTTCTTTAATTTTTATTACTTTGATTAGGGCCTGATTTCACCGCGCAGCGACTCATAATACACGGTTTGGAAAAATAATACGCTCGTCAAAGCACCACAGCACTGACTCAAAAAATGGGTTCGAGTAAAAAGGACCACCCGTCATTCACACACTTTCCTGTGATAAAACGCTGAATGTTGAAGGTAAAACAGGGTGGTTCTGAGGAAGGAAAAGGGAAGTGTGTGTGTGTGTGTGTGTGTGTGTGTGTGTGTGTGTGTGTGTGTGTGTGTTGGGGGAGGAGCAACCGCATTGTGTGTGAGACATCAACAGTGCCCACAACAGTCTAACGTAGTGCTTGTCGTTGTTGCTGTTGTTGTTGTTGTTGTTGTTGTTGTTGTCGTTGTTGTCGTTGTTGTCGTTGTTGTTGTTGTTGTTGTTGTTGTTGTTGTTGTTGCTAGCGATTCAGTAGCATCTGAGCGTTAACTATTCTGCCTGATACCATTCTGTAATAGCTGCATGTCTGTTCTAATTGTTATCTTGAGGAGTAGAGGCAGTTAGATGTGTGGTGTAGCTTGGGAAGAAAACATCCCTTCCGATCGGTTTCTACAGAAGAACAGATGATGTTACTCTGTCTCTAAGGGGTAGTCACATAGTGGGCAGGCAGCAGAATGCTTTACTCCAATTCAGTCGAGTGCTTGTTAATTTTTAAAGTTTAAGCATATTCTTTTTGTAGCTAGCGTCCAATTTTGTCAACTTAAAGTGGCTAACACTTCCTTACCGTATTTCCAAGCGGTGGTTCCCAAGTTCTCAATGCCCACCAAAATTATCCAATCTCCCACTCGTGAGCCATATCGCCCCCGGCTGGCAAGCACTGGTCACAAGTTATGTAAGATCTATACCAAAAGGGGGGGTTATAGGTAAGCCTGAAGAGTGCTATTGGCCGCCACGCGTACTTGACCATTGATTTCCTATTGGCAATGACCACTAGAGTGACTGATGGCTGAGCACTCTACTGACCTGCGTAGTCATGACTCCTCTCTGGATTTGCCTGGATCTCAAGGACCTGTTGTGTCCTTTGTGTCAATGGGAATCTGAGCTGACCACCTGACACTGATGCCATCTCTGCCTTTCTCTCTGTCCGTCTATCTCCCTGTCTCCCTCTCTCTCTCTCTCTTTTTCTCTCTTTCTTTATCTCTCTCTTTCTTTCTCCCTCTCTTTCTCTCTCCCTCTCTTTCTCTCTTTGTATCTCTATCTGTCTCTCTGTATCTCAATCTGTCTCTCTTTATCTATCTCTGGCTCGTCTCTGTAGTCTGTCTCTCTGTCTCTCTCTCACTGTGTCGCTCGCTCTCTCTCTCTCTCTCTCTCTCTCTCTCTC